GCATGTGCTTTGGAGTTTGCAAGTGTTTTGGAGTTTGTACGTGCTTTGTCTCTAGGGGCCACCGTAAATTCAACATTGCTATCAATACATTTTTCAAAAAATGCCTCTCTGTGCAAAATGGGTTTAAAAACATAAACAACTGTGGGATACTGTTTGTCCTGATTAACATGAGAGCCCAGCGCTGCTCCCATAAAGGGAAAACCAATTCTGCAGGGGAGACCTACCTCGGCACTTGTGCAGGTGAAACCAAAGGGAAGATATCCTTCACCATATTTTCTAGTCTTTGGCTTAGAATGAAGTTGGTTTGGAAACATATTCAGCGATGCTTCATTTCCTGCTTTGTGTTTGTGGGCGCCCTGTGCTAGCGGTTTCCAAGCATTTTGTTTGTCCAAGCATTTTGTGGGGCCCGCCCCGCCCCACACTTTGGGAAGGTCTGACCTAACGGAAGCCAAAGCCAACAAAATTGTGCAAACTCCACGCAGAAAGGTGCCGGTCGGTGGATTCAAACTCAGGACTTTCCTGTTGTGAGGCAACAGTGCTAACAACTACATCATCATACACTCCATGCTTAAAAAATAGGAATACTATGATTGCAAAGCTTCATACAGAATTTTCATTATGTTTTATATCTCTGACAGGTTAAACCACAATAAATACTAGTTGGTTTCATAACCGCAGTGATTTGCCTGTTGTTTAAAATCCCGTGTGATCTTGTGATATCGCGAGTCCAGGCAACTAACCACTCTTGCTAGCACTTATCGCTTCATCTCAACAAGAATACGTTTAACGAGTGTTAAGTTGTTGAATTTAATGGAGATTGCATATGTTTTAATTACATTCACCACAGAAACATAAAATAATTTCTGTTCAAATTACAAGTCAGACTCTTGTAAATGTGATGACTACCCAATTTCACTTTTGGAGTGCAGGGGGCAGGACTTAATAAATGAACGCTAGTGGAATAATGTGTTAAGCAGGTATTTGTTCCACGAATTTGTTTAATTTGGAACAAATCTAATTGTGTTTACTGACTCTAGCTGGAAGTGTCGGGTCGGGTCGCGCTTTGTCCGGGGTCGGGTCGCGGAGTCTAGCTGGAAGTGGCCACAGCTAAAGGGACATGAATCCACCCCTGAACAAGTAGTACATGGAGATGTGCTCGATGAAGAGAGGCCCGGATGTTCAGATGGAGACTCATCACGCAGAGCAGAGACAGGCGCGCACACACTGGCTTGACATTATTCTTTATTTGTTCATCTATCCACTTTTCTTTGGTAACACTGGTAGTTACATTAAATATGTAATTTATAATTTATTTAAATAAAGAAACATTTCTTAAATGGGTAATAGAACATTACAGTGTACAACAGGTGTATGCATTTTTAATGAAGAAGATTTATTAAAGTTATTAACTTTTGTGAAAACATATTTTTATATAATTTTATCTTTTCCCCCATGTATTTTCATTTATAACTTCTTTATACGGCTGATACAAATGACTAAAGTTGAAGACCCTCAACTGACTAAATGTGCTTACAGGAAAGCATTGCGTGACTCATTCATTATACACAAACCTTTTTTTACTGCCTTGCATCTGCATTTATAGTTCACCTCCTCTCTGTATTTGAAATAAATGAATTACATACAAAGCAATCTTAACTCATAACTAATTAATTTACTAAGCAAAAGATAAAAGAAAAGCAGAAAACTCCAAATATTATGTGTGACCTCCGAGAAGGTGATGAAAACGAAGGAAGTACGTTTTTTTTCTTTTTTCTGTTTTAAATTTAAAGTAGATTGTGAATCAACAGGAAATCGCTTAAAAAACTAAATATAGATGCTGAAGCTATTTCACCAAGGTATAGAATTGAACCTACGTTTTGCACATGGAAAAGAAGCGCAAAGCAAAACTGTACCATAAGAAACAATCAGCAGTATAACCTATAAAACAAAATATGCTGACCTACTCCAAATGGACTATTACATTTGTTCTATCTAGATTTCCTTTGCTTATGAAAAAAGTGTTGCCGGTGAACACATCACATACCTCATTTTTGAGCACCTTTAAACTCATGCATGTTTCTACACAGGAAGACATACAGCAGACAGCTGTCATGTGGACACCACCTCCATCACACCTCTATTATTATACAAGGCAAAAACTTTATTAATCTCGAGGGACTCATTGCAATAAGAATAGAAACATTAGCAGAAAAAGAAAAACTGTGTGGTGTCAGCAGAAATATATACAAAACACAACAAAATGAAGCTCAACCATCAAAGAGCTACGATCAGAATCTACAGATAATCCCAACAGCATAAAATATAAACATTAATGTGAATGTGCGTAGAAAGTGGCACAGTGTTAATAATAAAAGTAAAAAGGCCTGTAAAGGGAACAGTATTGTATTTTCTATATATTCATTCTGCCTGTAGGCAATTGGACATGCATAATTTGGCTTGTCATTTAATATTACACTAATATATGTTGCTGTGGAACTAGGCAGCTCATGCTCTCCTTCAAGATATAATGCATTTTGGGGTCAACTTGAAATAAAGGCAGATGTGGAATGTACATGTGAGGTCAGAGGTCAAATGTGACATGATATTTTGACGCAAACTATAATGCGATATTCGGAATTCCCGTATACCAGGACATTAGTTTACTAAATGTTGGCAATACAAAAAAAAGGTTTTGAAGGTTAAAGGCATTTTATCACAGTTTGACCTCATTTCAGTTTTGAAGAAGAGGTCAGAGGTCCAAAGTAACGTTATATTTAGAATCCCCGTATATCATTCCCATTATGCCTATGTGATGTCACTAGTTGGAAATATCTCTATATAGTATTTGTATCGATTTGTAAACATATTTATCAGTTTTTAGAAAACACATCTTTTATCTTAAACGTTTTCAGTGCATCTGTCCTATTTTTTATTTTTTTTTGGGGGGGGGCCTCTAGCATAACTAAGCAATTTGAGAAGACTTTTACTAGTTCAGATGCACAGGAGAAGAATGAAACTCACTAACAGTCTAAAGCAGTTGCCTAAAATGACAAATGGAATGAGCTGTTTTTTGATGGAGACCACCAGTAAAATTGAGTCAGATATTTTTCCAGTAGTACTCTTTCTTTATGAGTGTGTGCTTAGAAAAGTCTATTTAAAATTTTCACTTCAGGAAGATCGACAACTGAAATGCAAATGCTTTGGTGAAATGACTGTATGATGGCTTTGATATTATGTATGTAAATGAAATATAGTCTTGAATATATACTTTTCTTTCAAATCTAGAGATAAATCAAGATTCTCCAGTTACATACTGGAAAGAAACTAAAAAAAGACACTGATTAAGACAAAGTGAGACATTTGCTGTATTTGGATATCCAGTGGAAATGATGTCGTAAAGACAAAAAAACAAGCAAAAAAACCCCTGATAAAGACTTTGAGTTGATATGTGTTGAACTGTTTTGCTTGCTGAATTCCTCCAAGAATTAAGTTGGAAAAGCTTTAGAACCCTTTAAAAAAAAATTTGATTGATGAACAACAAGGACAAAAGTGTTTAGGTACATCAAGATAAATCACTTTGGGCTAAAAAGAGTCATTGCAGAAATGCTGTGTTTCATATGTCAATATGTTACTTGGCCACCAGCCAAGTGTGTAGTAACCACGTGTTGCCCATCTGGGTATTCCCATGTTTTGACATAGGTAGAGTAGTACATTCCTGTGGAAAACTTCAGATCTTCCAACATAGACTGGTATCCTGCTGACATGGAACTCCAAACCGCCTTTGCAGTGCACTCCAAATCTACACTCCTTTGTACAGGTGCAATGGGTAAGGATGACCAGTCAGAGTGACAATAAATGGGCTTTATAGCATTCCCCACAGTGCCAAATCACAACAGCAGTCGCCTCAAGGTGCTTTATATTGTAAGGTAGACCCTACAATAATGCATACAGAGAAAAACCCAACAATCATATGACCAAAGCAAAGCAAGCACTTTGGCAACAGTGGGAAGGAAAAACTCCCTTTTAACAGGAAGAAACCTCTGGCAGAACCAGGTTTAGGGAGGGGCGGGGCCATCTGCCACGCCCAGTTGTTGTGGGAGGAGGAAGACAGGACAAAAGGCACGCTGTGGACGAGAGCCAGAGATACTAACAATAGTTTATAGAAAGCAGTTGATAGAAATTGAACGATCCAACTTATTCCTCATGTCCAAACATTTAAAGACAGCATAGAGGAAAACAAAACTCCAACTGAGGGGAATGAAAGTGAGAAAGAAAAGCATTTTCTGTCCACCTTAGTATTAAACTTAAATGTGCTTCTTTTTCTTTTTCCTCTTCTTTTTGCTTGTCCCTTTAGGGGTCACCACAGCATAGCATCCGTCTCAAACTTGCTCTGTTCTTAACTTCTTCCTTCTCTGTCACACCAACACTCTGCACATCCTTACTCTTGATATTTTCGCAGGTTTGAATTGGCTAAGATTTTATGTCAGATGCTCTTTCTCATACAACTTAAGTGGGGACAGGACATGAAGGTAACTGGGTTTTGAAAGAAGTCCTGTTACGTTCAACTAAACTACTTAAAGACTACAAGAACCCACTTGAAAAAGGTAAGTGTCAACATATCAATAGTTAGCAAACTCATCCATTACCTGGTCTAAAGCTGAGTTTAAACAGAATAAAAGAAATAAAATGTGCTTAAATATGATAAAAAAAAGAAGGAGGCATTCAAATCTAAAATGAAAGGTAAAGCGTCACTTTCAAACAAATGATCTGCTCATCTGTTTTTTCAAATAAAGAATTAGAATAGTTACTCTGGCTATTTATTCCTCATGAGGTGTCGCAGTTTATATGGAAAATGATTAGGCTTTAAGGCTTTGACGTGTAAATGTTAGTCAGTTTTAGCTGCCTGCTAGAGAACAGAGTGTGGGGGAAACAGGAAGACAGGAAGATATAACCAGGTAAGGAAACAATGACACAGAATCAGTAGCGTGAGTAAAACGACACACACACACACAGAGAGAGAGAGAGAGTAGAAAGAGTGAGGCACATCTTGAGGAAGTTAGCAAAACAACAGAAGTAGAACAAAAGGCACATCATACTGAAGGTAAAAATAATTGTTTTCTTTCTTTCTTTCTTTCTTTTTTCTTTCTTTCTTTCTTTTACAATTATCGTTTTATTGTAATAGTCTTTATTTGTGATACTAACTTGGTAGTTGCGTTAGCTTTTATAGATTTTGATCCTTGCCCTTTTCGCAGTGGTGTTTGTAGACGATTGGCAGCTTTACATCTGTCCACAGAATGGGATTGGTGCAATACTCTGTGGCCCTCCTGATGTTATCCACACAGTTGGTGCTCAGCTTTCCCACAGTAAGACTTTGTAACCCATTCGCCTTAATTACTGCATACACTTTTATCAAATAAGACAAATAGTTGACATGAGTGAATGTGGCATGGATGATGAGTTAATGAGGACTTTTTCATTTTAGTGATTAATATCTATCTGTGTTGACAGCCAAAGAACACCTACACCATTGGTGGGAGAGAGTGTAACTATTGTCCTGCAGGTAGGAAATGTGTGATAACCTTACGTGAGCTTCTATTAATATTTTTAAAATTCTGCTGTCTGCTTGTCAGTTTAAACTTACTCAGAATTATTATTAAAAATGAATCTCTATTTTGTACAGTGGTGTGAAGTATGTTTTTTTCTGTCTATGCATTGTTTTTTTTTTCTGCATTGATGAAAAATGACGCAGACTGAGCTTGTGCAGTATGACCACATCCTTCATTAATATGCATTCTGAGTGTGCAGGCTGTCTGCTCACACTGCTTGTCGTCAAGTTGTTTGCATTGGTTTCTTTCTGTTTTTACAGGTATGTATCAGAGTGATTGTACAACATGTGAACACTGTCCTGCTGGAAGTTACACAACTGACTTGAACTATGAAGATGAATGCCATCGCTGCTTTGGAGACTGCAACCCTAGTAAAGAAACTATGAGTCATTTCTACCTTTAATGATTTCATCAGGATCGTGCTATACCCGTGATCTCTGGTTTTCTATAAAGAGCTGATAAACCATTAATAGTAACTCCACATGTACTGAGATGAATAGTCTCTAAAATAATCTCTATTTCACTCTTTCTCAGAGTTTCATCTTAAAGTGGTTCAGAACTGCACCAGTACGTCTGATATGAAATGTGACTGCGAGGATGGTTTTAGATGCATCAGGCGGACCCATGACAAAAAGAACTGCTTGTCTTGTGAGAAGATGCCAGACCCAACCCCAACCAGTAAGTACCGAGAAGAACACTTTCAATTCTCATGTCAGATAAGCTCAAACCAACAGTGGGCCTTATGGCAAACAAAACAACTTCTAAAGCTGAGAAAATGACCAGTGTCAAAGCAAACAACTTTACCGCAGCCATTAAAAAACAAAAGAAAAAAAAATAGCTGACAGGATATGTAAACTTAGCTCTGGCTCCCGTTATTATCAGATCATTCTGAGAACAGGTTCCTCTCAAGTTGCCATGAATATGCAAAACTTGTCTAATATGAACAGGTTTGAAAATATTCCCGGAAATCTTTATGCTCTCTAAAAAAGTGCAATGCCATCAAGCTGACATGAAAGTGTCACAAAGGACATTTTTCTATGTTCTAAGTATATTTTATGAAGGACCAGCAGAAAATAATCATTCTAATCTGCAGCACTCCAACGCTCTGCACAGATTGGTAGATCATAGTTTTGCCTGCTTCTTGATTTATTCAAATTGCTTCCATAGCCTTGTCTTCTAAAAAAACCCAAACAACCCAAAACCCCAACTAGCTGTATAATACTTATACTTGATAATTCTTGCAGAGTGCCAAACAGCAGGGCTGTGTTTGGCCCTGACAAAATGCAAGCGAGTTATTAAAAATAAATAGTGACATATTTTTAAACATGTCACTGCTGACCAAGTAGTATTTCTGGCACACCCACCACTGCAGAGCACGGTGTCACACTGCACACTGTACAGAGTAAATTTGAAAAAACCAGCTTCTTCCAACTACGCCAAATTTCGAAGGCAATGCCTTACCTACAACACAAGGACCTTGAAAGGCTCATTCATGC